GCAAGTTTGAAAATGAATATATATCAAAGCAACCAGAGAGTGCAGAAATTACTATTTTACCAGATAAAGGTATAGGTCACTATAAGGGACTATATACCTTTCCGGACGGGTCCAAGTTTGAAATTTTACTGAGCGCGAGGGATATCAAGTCCCGACTCGTCCAATGTGTATGATGGCTGTTCATTCCATGACAACATGTTACCTGTCACAATCTGGTTATATGTCTGTTTTGCGTTCCTCTGAGTGAAGTAAGCCCGCCAAACCCTCTGGTTACACCCAGGTGGCTTATTCTCTCCAGGCCATAATAATCTTGTTTCTTTAATGATTCTGTTGTTTGTTCCCAAAGGGCATTGACCACATCTGCCTTGTGGTGTAGATCAAGCCATTCTATCTCACTGTTCATTGCTCACCACGCTGGCATGGCCTGGAGAAAAGATCCAAAGTATGCTCAATACCCGTGACCTTCCCAGGGAAGCTTGGCACTCTGCTCGAAGCATCCCTGTCTTCATCTTTCTCAGCATGCCTTCAGAGTGTTAAAATTACGACATGTGTATGTATCTTGTTCTCTAGCCACCAGAGAGCTGCAGTTACCGCCTCCACCTCCATTCTTATAGTTGATGTTGTGATATCGTATGCTAGGCTGTCTTGCACTAAGGATTTTGCCTTGGCTACAAACCCCTAGGCACTTCTCTTTCCACTCACACCAGAACCATCTGTATAGATAATCGGATCACCTCGGCAGAAATAATAGTCTCCATTGTTTACCGTAAACATATTCAGAGCTTTGCATGGCAACTGTGGTCTCCACTGTTTATCCTAAACATATTCAGAGCGTTGCATGGCAACTGTGTTCTCTAGTGTTTATTGTAAACACATTTAGAGAAGAAGAAGACAGACTGCAAGACCACATTACCAGGTTACACTCAGCTTGCAGTAAATACAACATGAAGATCAATACAGACAAAACCCGAAGCAATGCAACTTAGTAGAACCCCTGGCCCACTACACATACACCAGCTGAATGGTTCTGCCCTGAATCAAGTTAGGGAGTATAGATATCTATGAAGTATGATCACGGAAGATGGTAGAATTGACGGAGAAATAGAAATCAGGTGTCAGAAAGCAAGTGCACTTATATACCAATTGTCACCTTTATTAAGACATCCAAACATAACTATGACTACAAAGAGACAGATTATGAACAGCATATTCATTCCAACATTAAACTACCAGTGCCAAACATGGACACCGTCTAAAAGCCCATATAGACAAAATCACCACCTGCGAGATGAGATGCCTGAGAAAAGCAGCCAAACTAACCATCTGAGGTCAAGTAAATAATAAAACCATCAGGCAAATTGTGGGAACGACACCTTGTACTAGATTCATCGAGAAACAGCAGATGAAGTAATCTGCAGTTCTGGTTTAGGGGTGGGGGCCTGGTGATAATCACATCGAAAGCCGAAATGGTGTAGAGGCTAGATGCCCACCTGCAGATAGGAAGGTCCTGGCTTCAGGTCTTGACGATACTGGACTGTATAAAGAAAAAAGACCTTGGTTCTCAAGTCTACGCAGCCAATAATGGGTACAGGGTATTTTCGTGGGACGTAAAGGCCACATTATCCACTAAGTTGCAACTAGTCTATAAAAAATAGGTATAGCCCTATATGCCTCAAAACTCCTGGCCGTTCAGTAAGGGTCTTTGACTTTACTACTACTTTCACTTACTCGTCACAACTGCATTTTACAATTGGTTCAGTCCTGCGCAAGAAGTGAATCAAAAATAATGACTAATCAAAACAGGAACCATTTTACCCAAACTACGCTCTGTGGCGATGTAACGATTGTGGGAGGTGACGTAACGATCGTGGGCGGAGATAAAAAGATTGCGGGCGGTGATATAACAATTGTGGGCAGTGACGTAACGATTGTGGGCGGAGATATAAAGATTGCGGGTGGATATGCAACGTTTGTGGGCAGTGATTTCATCAAATTCTGGACTTTCGTCAATATCTGGACTTTCGTCAAATTCTGGTCTTTCGTCAACTTCTGGCCTTTCATCAACTTCTGGACTTTAGTCAACTTCTGGCCTTTCGTCTTGCTTCAGAACTTGAGTTGTGCATGCAGATTCAGTTTACAGGTCTAGCTAATGTGTAAAAAGACTGTTTAGTCCTCGCCTCTCAGGCAAAAGTACTTCGACTTCAAAGGCACCGCCCCTTATGAGTGGACTGTTAGGACTGCTTGTTATAGGGTTAGGGGTCTACTCAATTTTCCCTTTCCAAAAATCTGGTCCTGGAACTCGCAAAGGAAACATAAGGAAATACAATTTTACAAAAGTAATCAGATATTTGTAGACTTCTGTGGAATAGACATATTGTCAATGCTGGATGACTGAAACTAAAGCTAATAATAAAAAAACTTAAAATTTAATTATAATGTTAAATGAAGCGCAAACACGAAAAACAAATAAGGCAGGCAGTTACTAAAAGCTACAAACACTCATTAATTAAATGATAAGAAAGAACCACTAATGTTTAGCAATGGATAAGACACAAGCAGAGAAAACATAAGAACACTAGAAATACTGGAACCCACAGGGTCACATAAATAAAGGAATACGAAACATCACACATAGAAGCGATCTAGATAGTGAGGTTAAAAGGAAGCGGGGACGAGGGGATGGAAAGGGGTGGGGGGGGGGGGAGTTGCATGCCATAGCTAAAGATAAAACGAGTTGGCGTAAGTTGATTAAGGGTCTATGCTTCACTGAGGTATATAATGCAACAGTAGAAGAGACTGGATGTTGAAAATCCAGTCATTTCCTTGTGAGATGCAATTTTTCTTTATTAAAAGCCCTTCTCTGGCTCTTGTCATGGGCCGCAATATAGCCCGACCATAAATATGGCCTAATGGCTAAACGCGATGTCTGGGACCTCTCCACGGGTGATCCTCATGCATATGATAGCACTTTGTGTCATCAGGTGTTAATCGCTTGTGTGAGATCCTGGTGGGGTAGAAAGTCAGTCAGTCAGTCAGAGACTGGATGCTGGCCATTTGCTAGCAGACCATTATGTGGATTTAGATAAAACTGCGGGCTTTCTTCTCTAACAGTTACCAGAGAGTTAGGAAATGCCTCCATGTTCACAGAACCCGAGGAAGGGAAAATGCTAACTGTACCAACTATGTCGTAAGACTGACTGTGACTGCAGCCAGTTCAGTGTCATTGAGACTAATTTCCTGGAATGTAAACTACTAAAATAGATGAAGTCATTTAATGAAGGAATGATTAAAACTGCACACAAGAATACCTCAGGGTTCAGTCAATCAATTGACTGTTCTTTTACATCTGGGTGGTCGATAGTTTTTAGACGTACGCGCTTTTCTGTCAACCTGTAAAAACTCGCCATCGAATGTTTGATGATGATGAGCTTTGTGCCATTCAGACAATAAACTGCAAAAAGCCTAACTTCTGACAGAAGGTAGATACATAAAATATCAAGGGGTCCCCGTGGCAAAGTGGTTAAGCCGTTTGCCTCGCGCTCTGAAGGTCCTGGATTCGTTTCACGGCTGCGCAATCCGGTTTACTAGTGTTTTTTTATTTTACGTCGACCCATGTGGACCTCCACAGGAGGCAAGGAGTTCGTGCTTTGTACGATGCTCTGGGAAGGCAGCTAGCCCGTCTGCGGAAAGAGGCAGAGCCGTATGGGATAAGACCTGATGCAGTGAGGTCGATCCTTTCGCCTTTAACATTTTAACCTTTGACATAAATATAAATATGATTCCTTGTCTTTCGGTTTAGATTTATTGATTGTCTCTTGTTATTGTGTCCTCCTGTCACTACACCCCCCCCCTCCCCTTCTCGAGTGGGTTCCGTTGTCCCATTGCGAGTAGAACAAGAATAGACTCAATAGTCGAATAATTGGAAGCTTCCCTCAAAGTCGGAGGGCGTCGCCTGATAGGCCATTTTTTTTCCATTGGCACCTTTCCGTCTTTCCAGACGATAGTGTTATACTGCGCTATGAGGAGGCATCAGACTCACAGCCCATGGCGATGGCGAGTGTGACTAGCAAGACCCGCCCGTGTCAAGAAAAGTCTTCCACAATGATAGCATGGGAATTCAGGACCATTGTTGTCAACATTTGTGTTTAATCCGTTTCTTTTAAGGCGCTCAGCTCTCATCCTTTCTGTAATCATTTCTTCCTTTACTCTCATTCCCTTCCTGATATGCCCTTTCCACACAAAGCTTGCCTGACAGGCAAGGAACCAACAATCTGCATACATATAAGTTAGATTTGTAAAATGGATGTACATGCAACTTTCATTTACTGAAAGAAGACTAAAATACAGAGGTGAAAGAACAACCAGAAATCTCCGTTTACAGCCATTGGAAGTGAAGAAGAGGACAAAGTAATTCTTTCTTCAGCTTCTACGAGTGGCAAACAGAACATTACAATTTATTTATCCTATCATAAATTCTGGATTCGTTTGTGACTTGAAAGGGATATGCACAAAAACTAACTAATAATATTGAAAATTATTTTGATAGTTCCCACCCGCCTTACAATTTGGGCGGATGTGGGGAAAGTGTTTATTTTTAGATCAGGGGGATAATAATAACAACAACAATGTGATGAGTGTCAAATAACTGTAAAGTTATACTTAAAATAATACGAAATTTGTAAGCCAATATTTTTGAAGAGAATTTCTTCACAAGATCAAAGAAGGTCGCTTTAATCCATAACAAAAATATTCGTGGGGGGGGGGGGGGGAGAAGTGGGTAGAAAAGGGGGGGGGGGTAGGATGCTTTCAGGGTTCTGCGCCTATAACTAATCATTTCCAATTATTCCCTTGTTATTTTTTTTTTACCGGCTCCAAATGCAACCCGCCCCCTCCCTCCAATGTCATTCCAGTTAATTATAATGATATGTTATGCAAATTTTAATTAAAAAATTTCCTACAAAGCTACGTAGTAAAAATTTTTTTGTTGAAATCTACTTGACTCAGTCCGTCAATTGATGATTATAGTTTTCTGAGCGTTGACTTATCTTGTTACAGTAAATACAAAAGATGTCGTAACATGTGCTTTTGAACTTTGAACTCATGGTCAAGTAAATAAAAATATTTGTACTTGAGTTGATTCCTTCTAGTTCAATTAAAACAGAGAAAATGGCCACAACTAAGTTCTTCTGTTTGCCTCCAAAGGCCAGTTCTGGGTAAACGAGAATAGCAACAAAGAGAACCGTTCCAGGGGTGTAACAGGCGATAAAAACAGTGGAAATGATGGTAACCATTTTGACAACTTTAGAATCCCTGCTGGCAGTACTCGCCCGTTTCTGTGAAGACACCGACTGCTCTTTCCATTTGGTGTTTTTCTGGAGAGCTTTTACCAAAATCACTGTACATATTGTGATAAATATGAAGAAAGCTGTAGGCAGAACGTTATTTATCCAGAAAGCGACTTTTTGTACATAAGCATTGTGGGTAATTCTGGCAACACCTAGGATGGATTTATTCCGGCTAGAATCAAATAACCAGACGACCCTTGTGGCATAGAACACGGGGATCGCAGACGAAAACATCACGATGTAGATGACGATAATAAAAGCTACAGTTCGGCTTGGGGTTACTATCGATCTGATCTTGAGCGGGGTCACAATGCACAAACATCGCTCGAATGTGATCCAAGCCGTTATCCCGGTGGTCACTCTTGTGAAGACTATGTGACCCCAGGCAAGAAAGTACATGAGTTGAACCGGGTAGAAGGGCAGGTCCAATTTCACTATAGATGGTGTCCAGCAGAGATTTGCAAGGAAGAAAAACACCAAGGATCCGAAGTCAGAAACGCTAAGTCCCAGAAGACTGATATTGACAGGATCTCGCAGACCTTGTCGGACAAAAACGACGATGTTTAAAACGTTGACAACCAGCCCAAAGATGGCCACACATTGACCTATTCCCCAGGAGTTTATCAAAGTAAAATATGAAAGCATCTTGTCACTCACTAATATAGCTTCGACTTTAACATATCCAACGTGTATCGATTCATTAGTTATCATTGTAAAATGTTGAAAGCATAATTGTCAACAATAAATTATACCACAAGTATTTTAATAAATAGCTTTCGCCTTTAACATATCCAACGTGTATCGATTCATTAGTAGTAGACATTGTTAAAGTCTTGTTTTGTTGAAACAAGTTGAAGAATAATAGTCAACAAATTATACCAGCAAGTATTTTAAGAGAAACATTGTAAATTAAACTTAACTGAACAGCATCTGTTTTGTCGTGTTTCTTGGGAGCAATAATCGAGAAATATTACAAAATAACATGCTGAATGTCTCTGTGACCCATAAGTCGATTATATTACACTTTCTTGACTTATTGGGCAGACAATTATTGTGATTTACAAATTCTCCGCGTTTCACGTGTATTTATTATTTCTTGTTTAGTAATACATTTTACCTAACACTTTCTTGTTATGTGTGAAACTCACTGGGAAATTGAACTGTAACATCATTCCTAAACGAACCCATCTTCTCATCTTTTAGAGAACTGCCTTACGTTTACGAAATGCGCTCATGATTTGCTCACAGTACACCAGGAGGACACACTCGTATGGCATATACTGACCGACTTTCTATGCGTCGGTCCTTTTGATATGAATTATATTAAAAGGTAGTCATTAGAAGCCTTTGGGACATTGCCCAGCCAGAAACCAGCCTAGATGACTCAAACAGGCTCGCCACGCTAAAGACAGCTTATTTAGACTCCGAACTGGACACAGTACATTCCGCAATCATGTGAAAAGGAAGGCTGAAGACTTACAACATTGCCCTTCCAGAACCCAGCCTCGATGACTCAAACACTCGCCACGCTAAAGACAGCTTATTTAGACTGTGAACTGGACACAGTACATTCCGCATTCATGTGAAAATCAAGACAGGACTCACAACATTGCCCATCATTGCCCATGCAGACAGGCACAACAGAATGCTGAATGTGTTCTGTGAGCATACTGTTTACATGCAGTAGATAGATCTCAGATCTGACCATTTAGGATTTCGGTGGCAACAAATTTGTATGGATCAGTAGAGAACATATATCGCACCACAACCTTCATAGAGGACTACGGCTTCTCATTTTCTTCTTCTTCATCGCTTCCACCTGCTGTGAATTCTAGCGGAACGTTTTGTTTGTTCGTCCACCTCTTCTCATCTTAAAACCACAAGAGGGAGAACGAAGAAAAGAGGAAGCTGATATTAAAAGTTGATGTGACGTTGCAGAACCTACCTAGTATATTTTGCCTGTGTGCTTTTTCTTTTTACAATTTTACATTTAGTAGTTTCCTATTTCCCTCTGAACAGCCAGAGTTCCATGCCACTGTAGAAATCAAGGCAAAGCAGTCTACTGTCAAATCACATTCAGCAGAATCGATAAGGAAATTCGGAATTACGAAGCTTGTTAGCAAAGCCAACGCAATAATGAACATACTGAAACATAAATCTATACATATCTATACATTACAACGAGCAGTTAGCTTAAACCACACATGGACAGATTTCCTACTAAGGCCATCCGGCTAAGAAACGTAAATGCAAACAATATTAACAATTATTATCATAATGAGCCTTGTCAGACTGCGTGGGTTTCTCTTCCACGATATAGGTCCTGGGTGCTCTGAATTGATTCTTAATATATTTTTTCATGTCATTGTTTTCTTATACCCAGCGACGACTGTTACTGTCCGCCTCTACCTCTTCTACAACTGATCTTTCTAGTTGTCACCATGTTCTTTAATGCTCCCCCTTCTCAACCTGTATGCAAAGAACAATTTGTGTACAGTGAATACCTTTACTCTTGACAATCATTGGTTTCAACTGTTTCAAGACAAGGAAGATGGCATTATATTCAGTCCACCTGAGTAGAAGCCAGTAGAAAATCATAAGGAAGCACTGAAATAAGAAATAAATGGACTAAAGAAGTGAGGAGGTCAAAGCGATGCCTTAAAAAGAATTGAATGTTGAATTAAGAATCGACATCACTGCACTCGAAACACTCCCATAAACGCTCCGTTCCCATCTTCAGCAGTAAGCGAAGAGTTAAAATTACAATGGTACCAGTAACTGTCTGATTGTATATCCGTCTCGCACTTCCCCTGAGTGTCAAGCGTCGGTCAGATCCCCTTGTAACTCCTCGCAGTGCCATTCTCCTCAGATCGTATTGATCTATCTGTTCCTCAGCACTGTTCACTCGCTCCCAAAGGGCCCTAACAACATCCAGCTTGTCATACATCAGTTCACCACCAAGTGGTGCAGAACCAGCCAGTTTATCCGCCTTCTCATTTCCCAGCATACCTGCCCTGAAACGAATATTGATGAGAAAGGCAAGGCGATGAATTGGATTCGATCCGTTATGTCAGAAAGACTTCAGAAAATAGAATGGAATGAGGTAGACTGCGAGGTCTATGTGACAGTTAAAGGCACAACAGGACGGTGACACTGATCACTATTCTGGCTGTCTAATGTTTTAGCAGCTCGCGTCTTAGGTAAAACAAATTCGCTAACGTTGAATTATTCCTAGTTCGTTAGTGCACATTCCAGGATTCAATAAGCAGCTGTCGGGCAATAACAGTATTAGGCTGTCAAAACTACTAAACCTAACCTTAATAGTGGCGACTGCACCGTCCATGCGCTCTTAACCCCCCGTCCCCCCCCCCCCCCCCCCCCCCCCCGTCCTACAATGATCTAAGAACAGTATCCATAATTCGACAAGCTAAACACTTCATTTCAGTAAAATCTTCTGACCTTCAAACCCGATGGCACCTTATATATTCTTTCAAGAATGAGTTACGAGTTTGACTGTCCTCATGGTACTCCGGACACGTCCATAGATGCTCAGATTTCCTCCATATCTACATCATCATGGCGCTTTAAATAGCGTCAGTTATTTGCTGGTTTACAAGACTTCCAATATGCATGATCTGTCTATGGTGTCTGGCTATTTCAATGTTTAATCCCATGTCTTGCAATCTAGCATCGAAGTGGACGCAGACACCCCCTTCCCCCCATATATATCCGCTGATTTCTCTCTCTCTCTTCTCTTCTCTTCTCTCTCTCTCTCTCCCTCTCTCTATCTCTCTCTCTCTCTCTCTCTCTCTCTCTCTCTCTCTCTCTCGCTGAAGATAATAATAATGTAGGACGTTCCACATATTGGCTATCGGCAACTATGGTAGAGCTAGCTACATCAGCGCTTTCATTGCCAACAACACTTGCATGCACTGGGACAATGATAATTCCAAAACCACGCACTGCAGACCTTTATAATGACTGAATCAACTGTCTGCAGACAGAGCGGTGGGACATACCCATGAAATCACTTAGTGTAGACGTGTGGGACGAACCGTGTGATTCTTGCCACCTGAAAGCTCGTGTCACTGTCGTCACATCCAAGGTTGTGCTACTTGCAATCACATAGAAAACAACTGTTGACCTCTCTGGGCGGTTTAGCCTTTAAGCCTTCTACTTGGGGAGCCCGGACAGAAAAATGTCCATCACCAACCCACCCCTCCCCCTGAAACCGAGGATTCCAACCCGGGTCTCTTGTACGAGGACACAGTGTTCTAACCTTAGACAGCCCCATCAGAATGTATACATTTTTGGTCTGAGAGCTGTTTATTTTGCTTGAAATCGTTTTAGTCTGTGTCCACGGCGGTTTGGGTTTGGGTATTCAGAAAATGGCTGGTTATGCTTTCGGGCTGATGATGTGCCTTATGCAATAATTTTGCTTGCGTATGGCCAGCTTTTCATGACCTACTACTTCGAAAAATGACAAATTGCGATTCTAGTGGGCACTGTTGGTGCTGGCACCTCTAGCGACTGCATGTTTCTGGATGTTACCGGCAGTATTTATTTGTTCGTCACTTTCAGAAGTGACAGGGAAGGCATATTAGGACATATATTAAGACATCCAAGCATAACTATGAGTGCGAAGAGACAGATTATTAATAGCATATTCATTCCAACATTACGCTACCAGTGCCAAACATGGACACTATCTAAAGCCCATGTACGCAAAATCACCACATGCGAGATGAGGTGCCTGAGAAAAGCAGCCAACCTTACCATCCGAAATCGAGTGAATAATGAAACTATCAGGCAAACTGTGGCAACGACACCTTGTACTAGATTAATCGAGAAAGCGCAAATCCAGTAGTTTAGCCATCTCGTTAGAATGCTGCCAGATCAAACACCATCACAAGTACTACATCTCAGAAGATCATCTACAAGAGCAAGAGGACAGTCACGGAAAAAATGGATCGACAATATTAAAGACACTCTACGACTTTACGGCATGACAATAGCCAGTAGCAGCCAACGTGCACTGGATCGCAAATTATTCCTCCCCACGACGCTTAACGGCAGAAGTGGTTTATGATGATGATGATGACGACAGGGAAGGGGTGTTTCGTGTGATTTTCACGGAAAAAAAAGCAATTATCAAGGAAATGTAAACGTGGACTACCGACCATTGAAGTAATGCAAAGGACCATATTCCATATTCTTAGCCATATCCAATGTATAGTGCTAGATCTAAATTTTATTGACCAGTCCAAACTTATTGACCAGTCCAATTTTATTGACTAGTCAAATTGTTTTTTATCAGTCCAACTGTATTGACCAATCCTGTGCAGTCATAATGTCCTATATTGCTTCCCTTTCTCAACTCATAAGCAAAGGACAATCTATGTATAGTGGATTTTGTTTTATCTCACCAGCCGCCTTGACCTCCCAGGACTTTAATGTGAGCCAAGGTAATTCATGTAGATTTGAACCCACGACCTTCAGGCGCGTAGACGAGCTTCTAGATGCTACGCCATGGTGACTGCCTTGACTCATCATCATGTAGCAGGTCCTTTGCAGAACGTCGCTCTCATCACAGTCTGCCTAAAAGAAACTCGGTCTCTCGCCAGTTCTCCCGCCTCATGAACTTTCACACTCAAGGAGTCACTTATATCCTGTGCCCATCTTCGTGTTGGTCGGCCCCTGACCCTCCTTCC